GCTGGCGGCCAACGTGATCATAATTCCTTTCGGTTAAATCCTTTGCAAATCGATCAATCTCTATTTGTCAAAGCAAAATAAATTCTACCCACTTTGTAGTTTTTTCTTTCTTTTCTCAATTTGCCTGCAACACCATCGCCCTTTCCCGTTTTGCCTTTTGGCTTTAATCCCAAGATAGGTGGTGTTTGCAGGCCAATAAGGTCAAAGAAACAAAAAATACAACAATTCTAATTCGTTTCTTCAATACCCATTTCATTGTTTTTGGAGATCGTTTCTTGAATTTCCTTTTTTCTTTTTCATGTTTTGATTTTGGATAATTAATTTAAAGATGCAGCACAATATATTTACTACAATGCGTAGTTTAAAGCTGATAGACGGTTGTAAGGGCACCCAGGTGTATGCCATTAATCCATCTGGGGCACCCCCGCCCCCGCCACCTGCAGCTGGAGGAGGAGGAGGAGGAACTGGGGGAGTCGCCGACAAGCTCTTCCACCACCTACAAGACCAACGGAGACTCAACTCTATTCGATCCAAATCTAATCGAAACTACCAGGCTTCTAACCAGACTTCTGCCGCCGTTGCCACGGAGACCCTTTTGCCCTATGGGCTTCCCGTCAATGATCTGTTTGAGCCCCAGATCGATCCCTGTCTTAAGCCCATCGGTTTCGTCAACAAGCTGGCGGATATGTACCGTAAGATTGAGAATGGCTCTCAATTCGAAAAATCAGGAGTTTATCTTGAGCAATGCGCCATCTTCCGAGGCTTGTTCGATCCGAAACTGTTCCGAAGGAGCCTCCGCTCCGTCAGGCAGCACGCGGTTGACGTTCACTCCAAGGTTGTTCTTGCAGCGTGGTTGCGCTATGAGAGGAGAGAAGATGAGCTTATTGGCACAAGGCCGATGGATTGTTGTGGACGGAACCTTGAGTGTCCAACAGCTACTCTAGTTTCCGGGTACGATCCCGAATCCGTTTACGACTCGTGTATGTGTTCTGGAACTCCCCGAGGGGAATCCGATGGAGAGGTATCAATCGACGATGAGGAGTGTTCAACTTCTGAGGAAGATGGGGATATGTCATTTTGCATCGGAGATGATGAGATTAGGTGTATAAGATACAAAATGGCCTCGTTATCGAGACCCTTCAAGGCAATGCTATACGGTAGCTTCAGGGAGTCGAAAAGGGAGAAGATAAATTTTAGCCAGAATGGGATTTCATCTGAGGGGATGAGAGCTGCAGAGATATTTAGCAGGACAAAGAGGTTAGATTATTTTGATCCTAAAATTGTTTTGGAGCTTCTTTCATTCGCAAACAAGTTTTGCTGCGAGGAGATGAAGTCTGCTTGCGACACCCACTTGGCATCTCTGGTTTGTGAAATGGAGGATGCATTGTTGTTGATTGAGTATGGATTGGAAGAGACTGCGTATCTCCTTGTCGCAGCTTGCTTGCAGGTGTTCCTGAGAGAGCTCCCAAGTTCGATGCACAATCCTAGTGTTATGAGAGTTTTTTGTAGTTTGGATGCCAGGAAAAGACTGGCTCAAGCTGGACATTCATCGTTTTTATTGTATTATTTGTTGAGTCAGATTGCTATAGAGGATGACATGAAGTCCAACACAACTGTGATGCTTCTTGAGAGGTTGCGTGAGTGCGCGACGGAGGAGTGGCAGAAGCAGCTGGCACAGCACCAGTTAGGTGTTGTGATGCTTGAGAGGAAAGAGTTCAAGGATGCCCAACGTTGGTTCCAAGCAGCCTTTGATGCTGGTCATGTTTACTCCTTAGTGGGTGTTGCCAGGGCTAAATTCAACCGTGGTCATAAATATTCTGCATACAAATTGATGAATTCACTCATTTCAGAAATACACCAGTTGGGTGTATGTATCAGGAGCGTTCATTGTATTGTCTTGGGAAGGAGAAGCTGGTGGATTTGGATACTGCTACTGAATTGGATCCCACTCTTTCTTTTCCATACAAATATCGTTCTGTTTCCTTTGTGGAGGACAAACAGTTTGGAGCTGCCATCTCCGAAATCAATAAAATAATTGGTTTCAAGGCCTCTCCTGACTGTCTTGAGCTACGAGCTTGGATTTGCATTGCCATGGAGGATTATGAAGGTGCTCTTAGAGACATACGAGCCCTTTTGACGTTAGACCCAAATTATATGATGTTTCATGGGAAAGTGCAGGGTGATCACATGGTTGAGGTCCTCCGTCCTCTCGGTCAGCAGTGGAATCAGGCTGATTGCTGGATGCAGCTATATGACAGATGGTCCTCGGTTGATGATATTGGCTCCCTTGCTGTTGTACACCTTATGTTGGCTAATGATCCTGGAAAGAGCCTTCTTTGGTTTAGGCAGTCTCTGCTTCTTTTGCGGTAAGTATTAAAAATCATTTTCAGGTTCAGTTTCCAGTCTAATCCTTAAAATGCTTTTTTTAGATTCCTATTTCCTTGAGAAGTTTAGCCATTTAAATCTGTCTCTAAGTTCTCCTCACTCTTTGCAATCTAGAGCTGAATTGTGAAGATCATAACTTTCTTCTTCTGAGTGATGTTTTTAACATGTCACCTGCTAGGAAATAATAGGATCATTGTTAGCCATCCATGTCTTTCAGTATCATTTGCCTGAAAATCAAATATAGCAATAACCATTAGTAAGTTGCTGCAATTGATTCCACTCTCCTATCCCAACATCTTTTCCCCCCAGATTTTAGCTACCTTTGACTATTATAAGATAGAAGACTAGAGTATAGTTATACTAAGGTCTTAGAATAACATTGAGAAGGGGACTAGGAAATAAGTAGGGTTGTTGTTTGTGTTAATTAGCTCCTAAGCAAATGCTATTGGTTCTCAACATTACAGGTTAAACTGTCAAAAGGCTGCAATGCGTAGTCTAAGGTTGGCTAGAAATTATTCTAATACAGAGCACGAAAGGCTTGTGTATGAAGGATGGATATTATATGACACTGGACATCGTGAAGAAGCCCTTGCGAAGGCTGAGGAATCCATTTCAATCCAGAGGTCATTTGAAGCCTTTTTTCTAAAAGCTTATGCTTTAGCAGATTCAAACCTCGATCCTGACTCCTCAACATATGTAATCCAACTTCTGGAGGAAGCTCTTCGATGCCCATCAGATGGTCTTCGTAAAGGACAAGTGAGCATCATCATTGGAGCAATACTATTATCTTGATACAATGCACTGTATCTAACATCAAGTAATTTTGCAGGCATTGAATAACCTAGGTAGTGTCTATGTAGACTGTGATAAACTGGATCTTGCAGCTGATTGCTATATGAATGCTCTTAACATCAAGCATACACGAGCACATCAGGGTCTAGCACGAGTGTATCATCTTAAGAATCAACGAAAAGCCGCATATGATGAGATGACAAAGCTGATTGAAAAGGCTCAGAACAATGCATCTGCCTATGAGAAGCGCTCAGAATACTGTGACCGCGACATGGCAAAAAGTGATCTTAGTATGGCAACACATCTTGATCCACTAAGGACATATCCATATAGATATAGAGCAGCAGGTACATTTCATGGTTACTATTGTTACTTCGTTATCTTCTTAACACTTTCATATCATTGTTGAAAACTAATTTTCACATGTCAGTGTAAACAAAATAGTTCCCTATGATAATTTTGTTATGGATCAAATTGTAAAGTATCTGGAGCAGACTGGAAGTTTTCTAGGTCATATGAGATCATATGAAAGAAGTGAATCAAGTGATATACTGTTGGAAATTTATTATTTAACCTTCACGATTCTAGAAGTGTATATGTAAATGAAGTTTTGAGCTCTGCTTGTTACATTGTTTATGTGGCCATCTAGATCCTCCATTGTTTTCTTGTCATAGAGTTGATAATTTCTTATAAAAAATAAATTAATTCCTCAGGCTGGTTTTTGAATGAAAATGCCTAATGTTAGTTCTGTGGATATAATTAATAAATTGATGAAATCTTCTTCATGTTTTCCTGGTGTTTTTTTTCTTCCAGAGGTGGTGTTTCCATGTGACGTACTTGTCTGGAAAGATTTGAATGGGGAATGTTTTTGACTGTGCAGGAAAAATTCGTTTCAGTTTAGAGTTCTTATAACCATCTCATGCTCATAGAAATATCTTATAACATCTCATGCTCATAGAAAGTATGTTCGGTGATTAGTTTAGTACTTGTAACCAGACAATGTCAAGAAGGTTCCTTACTTTGGAGGCAGCTGTTGTTTCTGGAACAAGTGTGCATTTTCTATTGGATTAGTTTAGTTATTCTCGGTTCTTGTTTCAAGGAAATGAATATGGATTCATTTGGAAAAAAAAATGAATAAACTTTGGAAAGAACTCTCTTTGATGCCTTTTTATGCCATTTTGGAAAGTGCAACAGATCCTGCTTTCTCTGGGATGTATTTCCCAGTAGTTACTTGTGGAAGTCACCTTCCAACATGAACCCTTTTATCAGACTAATAGCACAATAAATTTGCATATTATTGATCTTAAGGAGTAGTATTTATTGGGTGTGAACACTACAGTCCAGTAATCCAACTCCTTATTCTTGCTTCTGAAATTAGAAAAAAAAAAGTATACTTTGAGGTGGACTTTAGTAAACATACAGTCATGGCACCTATTCCTTTCCTTCTCCCCATGATGGTATAAGGTTTGCATAATTTCTGTTTGTTATCTATCACATGTTATTAGCTTCGAAAGAATTTACTGCTTTAATGTTTATATTCTGGAATTTGCCAGCATTTTTGGTGCATCTCCCCATCTAACATGAAACCTAAAACTCTCTTAGTTCTGATGGATGACCACAAAGAAGTTGAAGCAATAGCTGAGCTCACAAAGGCGATAGCTTTTAAGCCGGATCTACAACTGTTGCACCTTCGAGCAGCATTTCATGACTCAATGGGTGATTATGAGTCTACTATTAAAGATTGTGAAGCAGCCCTCTGTCTTGATCCTGGCCATGCTGAGACGCTAGAGCTGTATAACAAAGCACGTGAGCAGGTTAATGAACAGACTAATGAAGTAAAAAGTTAGCAACTTGTGCCATCTCTTTGTTTCAGTTTTTTCATGGCAATTCATTATTGCCCACTCGTATTCTTCTGCAACACGGAGGCTGTTGCTCTGTCAAATTTTGTCTCCACAACATTCAAATGCAGATTTTTCCTTGGCCTTTAGCGCAAAAAGGGAAAGTACAAAATGGGAAGGGTATGATGAGATAGACAAAGGAAAAGGCGGAGAAGAGAAGAGAGGAAAGTAGAGGAAGGTAGCTTGTAAATATAATGTATTTCGGGTTTTTGATTGGATTGTTTTGATGATGTAATGTAAGTAGTGCAGGGTGTTGGTGTTGCCACTGCGTGATACGTTTGTAGGGTGAGGAGGGGGAAAGTAGCAGAGTCGTCAAACGAAACCTGTAAATTATATGGCAGCTGCCAGCCGGTGGTGCTGTCTGGTTTCGAGGTTTACAATATTGTTTTTTGCCAAGCCGATAAAACGTATTGTAACTTTCCCTCACATTGTTTTCCTTACAAGCTCAAAAATTTTCCTTATAAAACAGAAATTAATTCTTACAATTCAGACCCATTTCTATTTTCTTCTAATCAAATACTTCGAATGGTTCCCCTGTAGTAAAGAATTGGGTGTTAAGAGAATAGAGTTGTTGCTTCTTGGAGAGGCACCAACAATGGTAATTTTCCAACTTTTGAATAAATTAGAATTTTTGTTGGATTAATTTATAAATTTATATTCAATTTGGTTAGAAAACAATAAAACGTAATTTTATGTGAACTAACTAATTTTACGTGAAATTATAATATATTTTTAAATAAACACTAGAAT